ACTTAAAAATACTTTGTGTATTGCGTTTGGACGTACTTGTTTAATTCCTACGAGAAGGTAACACCTCCCGAAACGAAAGCTGATTTTTATCAGCTATAGTTAGAGGAGGGGATAAGGTGTCTGCGCAATGCTAGGCGGTGTTGTCGTAGAAGTATGAAGTGAAAAGTACAGGTTCCAGCCCTGGTCGGGGAGGAAGTACCCTTATGGAACTGAATTGTTTGCCGCAAACTTGCAGCAGACTTGCTGCAAGCTTGCGGCAAACAAAAAGTTTGCAGGAACACAGAAAATAGTGTTTGCAGATGTTTGCCGCTAGCTGCAAACTTCCGGCAAACATTGCAGCTTTTTGCTGCAAGCTTGCGGCAAGTTTGCAGAAACATCAATGTTTGCCGTTAGATTGCCAGAAAGTTTAAAATTATAAAGAATGTTTGCCGCAAGATTGCAGAAAACTTTGACCATTCTATATGTTTGCCGCAAGATTGCAGAAAACTTTGACCATTCTATATGTTTGCCAGAACATTGCAAGAATTACACAATATTGACTGGGCATGCCTAGTTGGCACTTCCTGGAAGTTATCAATTTGAAATTGTGGCTAGGTCATGTTGGTTGTGTTTTGAAAATGCATTTCACAAATAAGAGATCAAGGAGGCATTTTGGTTCAATAGATAAGGATATTCAGTATGTAATTTTGTAAGTACAAATAATTCATAGAACTGCATGTTTTAATAAAATAATTAATGTTATCATCATACATAATAAAGTAAGCAACTATATATACATGTATGTGTGTAATGAAAACCTTTAGCTATTATACGTTTGAATTTTGTAACTGATGTACATGTACTGTACCATGTTTATTAAAACTAAGTTCAATTCTGTTATGCAATTGTTACCTAGCTTTATACTCAATACACATTTGAGATTTATCCTTTTTCATTTCTTAATACAGGTATATGATGTCATTTGAGAATGACCCCTGCCCCCTTTTTCAAAACTCAAATGCATGTATGTATTTCCTTAAATCTCGTAAGTTTGCAAGAACTCTTTCAATGACTGTTTGTATACAGGCATGAATTGATTTTTTAAAAATGTTGCTGTGTAATTTGAATGAGATAAATTGAATATGTCTACACACATGACATTGGTATAATGTGTAGTTCCTGCAAGTTTGCCGCAAGTTTGCAGCAAACGATTGCCGCAAGCTTGCAGCAAACAATTGCCGCAAGCTTGCGGCAAATCTAATTTGCATAATTATGTTTGCAGCAAGCTTGCCGCAACCTTCATTTGCATGGTAAAATGGTTACGGCAAGTTTGCAGCAAATGTTTGCTGCAAGCTTGCGGCAATGTTTGCCGCAGAGCTTATTTTTCGGTAAGGGTAAAGAATCAGATCTACTCTAACAGTGTTAGGTTGATCTTCTAGGCACTTTATATATATATATGTATGATCATATATATGTATAGGAATGTTAAATTATCAATTTTGTCAATGAAGACATATATGTGTATAGTGTAGAGAACATTTTTTAGTGTATCATATATTGTTTACCTTTATTCTGCCCAATACAGTGAAAAGTTATAAATAACATCATTGATATATAACAAAATAATTCTTACAGATACTAGTTTACAGAATGTAGCCTTTTCAACTATTGTTGTTTTATTTCAGTCAATACATTGCTATAAACAATTTTGTAATTCCGTAATTGGGTGGAATTTACTTGATTTGTGGTTATTTTACTGTTATCTGATGAAATTGTAGCTTACAAACATTTCGACCACCTCACATACTGTTCTTAATACCCCATCATAAATACCAGGCTTAAAATTTTGTTCGCCAAAAATTTTGTTTCATCTACAAAAGACTCATTGGTGACGGTCGAATCCAAAAAATTTAAAAAGGCCAAATAAAGTACGAAGTTGAAGAGCACTGAAGACCAAAATTCCGAAATACAACTGAGATAATCTTTTTATGGGGTAGAAAATCTTTAGTAATTCGAAAATTTCAAAGGTTTGTAAACAGTAAACATGGATAATAATATAATTATGACCATATCAATGATAATTCATGTCAACACAAAAGTGCTGATTACTAGGCTGATGAAACCCTGGGGGTTATAAATAAAATTGCCATATATACCAGGCTTACACTATTGTACGCCAGACACGCGTTAAGGCTACAAAAGACTCATCAGTGACGCTCGAATAAAAAATGTAAACAGGCCGAATAAAGTACGTAGTTTAAGAGCATTGAAGACCCAAAATTCCAAAAGGTTTTGCCGAATACAGCTAAGCTAATCTTTTCCTGGGTAGCGAATCCTTAATATGTTGCAAAATTCACAGGTTTGGTTAAAGTTAATTTATAATTATGATCATATCAATGATAATTCATGTCAACACAGAAGTACAGAGTACTTGGCTGGTGACACCCTTGGGGAGAAAATCTATACCAGCACTGGTATTGACTTAATTGGAGATTATTGAAATTTACTCACAATTATTTGTTTGTCTTGAAATAGTTAATTCCATGGTGTACGGGAGGCAAACTTGGTGTTTATCTCAATATAGACATAGGAAAATATCGGTTATAAAGATTAAAACTGTGGCAAGGGAACACAATAAAGAAAAAATAAAGAAATTCCCGTTTTTTTCACATCATTTTTTTATAAGTATTAAAGCTATGTTTGAGCAAGTTACCGTGTGTAAAAAAATGCAAGAAATGTGTTTAATGTCTGGTAAATCCATGCCAACCTGAAAGATGAAGTTTAGAGACAAAGCTTAACTCGGTGATATGTATTTATACTTTTTCGTTGACTTTAAACATTACCTTTCCCATTTTATTATTAGTCCTTGTCCTAAGTATATGTACGTATCCAAAGACATTGATAAACGAACTAGTGCTGAAAAAAGCACATCTATCTGGAATTTTTCCGTCACTGGTTACAAAAATACCTGAAACGGCTACAAAATGGTTGTCATTACAATTGTACTAGAAAAAGTACCTGCACTGTTATCTACAAGTTTGCGCAACCAATTGTTGATCATTTGTCAATGGAAAGTCATCATTACAATCAAATACAAATTTGTTGTAATATTATTCTAATTTATAGTATATATTTCCCTCGTGCATAGCGCAGATTCCTTGTATAAATTAGGATACACTTTCAATCCTTTTTGGTTTCATCGACTCTTCAACGATTAGTTCGGTTTTTTTTTATTGTCAAATATATTTGGCTGTAGCATCGCTAAAGAAATATTATTTGTTAAAACGTAAATTCGATGCAGTAAAATTGGTGCGTTTATGTTATTAGATACGCAAGTTTTTATATTATTTCTAAATAAACGATATTCTAGACTTAATGTTAATTCACGTATCCTTGAAGATGTGTGTTCTAGATCTGCACACAATAACAGCATATGCTATACTAATTTGCATTTGACACGGATCTTATTTTCAATCTAGTTCGCTGAAGTCCAATACATCAACTTCGCTAATATGGAATATCAAGTTGTCATGAACAATAATATATGAAAGAAAATATCAAAACGAATAAAAACACTGATGCAACATTTATAACATAAAATATTGTAGTTTAAGGCAAAAGCTAACGTTTTTGTACAGGAATTGAAGATAAAATACATGTATCCGGCAAACAGCCATAGTATTACTCCAAATACAAATAATTTTATGTAATATAATAATCTTCTTCCAAATTAAATCGTGCTAAAAAGATGGAAATGTGCTCTTAATGGAAGAATTCATTCAGTATTATGTCTGATACACAACTTCATAAGCAACTTCCATCTGACTGTATCGAACCTTTGCACACATCCATGACCAGGATAAAAATTCAAATAGTGTACCTATCAAGATGCTTACCGTAAATCTTCAGTCTATCAAATCAAAACAAGGATTAGCTGAAAGTCCTTAACCCGATTTTGTCCTGGTAACAGAAACATGTATAGATTTCTCTGTTAAAGATAACCAGATTTTTCCACCAAATTATATCATCTACAAAAGTTACTGTAATCATGCAAGGAGGTTTGGTGCTTATAGCCACGGCATCGTCTTCAGCGAAGTAGACAACAAAGCCTTTATCGAGGAAACAAAAAACCCGGATATTCCTCTTGTATAGGAAAGCAAACAGGGAAACCACCAAACAGGAAATAATTGAAACTCATGAAAAGATAAAAACATTAAACTGAATACGAAAGTTCATCAAACTTAACCAGAGTGTAACAATTCATATTCCTAATTAAATAATATAACAGAGGGATAGCCTCCCGTGTCTCACGCTAAATGTATGTTAAATAATACGCAGCCGTTACAGATTAATATACAAAAAAGAAAAGGTCAGCGGATCCTTAAATTACATCTAAATTCAAAGAAATCAAGCAAATGGTACAAAATGACCTCCATCGTGCATATTGGAATACACAGAAATATTATAATACCTAAAGTGGAAACCCTTCACCACAGTTATATGGAACGCCTCTGGACATATATAAAACATATGAATATTGATAGCAACAGAGTGGGACCACTACGAAGTGATGGAGTACTACTCTCTCATCCAATAGACCAAGCAACCATCCAAAAGAACACTTTCAATCTGCATTCTAAGGAAAATATAGTCCAGATGAATTCAAATCTAGTTGTCATATGCCAGGTCAATACCCTTCTGCAGAGGAACTAAACATGGTCTCATACTTCCTGTCAGTGTTTTATCATGTTTATATCTCCTGAGTCACCAGGCGAAGAGGATATATATAGGGCAATGACAGGGAATATGAACCCATATTCCCTGTGATGCCCGAATAACAATCACATTATACTGGAGTATCCTGATTTGAACGCTCAAATTACCATTCTTATCTTTGTTTTCCTCATGTTGAGGTAACCAATCAAACTGCAGAATTGCCCGGGATATTTCACTCCAATATCATATAACATATTACTTTCTTCATATACAATATCTATGCCATGTCAAAGATATCAAAGAAATAGAGTTTAAGGACTTTATTCAACCAATAAAATGAAATATTACATAAATATACTAATATTATAGATTGATATATGTTAAATTATAAATTTTATGGTCTTTCAACTACACAAATAATGATTTTTTGTGATATTTAAAGGTATCAAGAGATATTGCAAAAATAAGCTTTTATCGACGCATATATTATTGCGACATATATGTCATGATTTAACATTTATTATGCTGCATGGATTCTGACCTAAGTTTTGAAAGCATGAGTTCATAAATTTTCTTAACTTAAACTTTGGCAATGTTTTTAAATGTCTCCATATAAAGGAACATTAAACTGCATATAATTTTAGGATCTTTCATTTGGATGATGTTATCTGTGTATCAATGTGAACAGAGAAATGCTGTGTCCAGGTAAACGTTAACATAGACTTCACCACACGATACAGTAATTATTATCACCAGTTGGTGATAGTCCAGGTCATTGTTTGTAAGAAATTGTTCTTTTGTGTATTTGCGATCTGCGCATATGCGTGCTGTACGATGACAACAGAAAATAATGCCAATACAGTAAGCTGTCAACATTTTGTTCTATTTCATTTAATCCACGGAAGCACTCTCATTAGAGAGAGATCTTCGACTCGAAATGGTGCGAGATGACAACCATGCAATCAAATTAGGTAGCATAGAAGTGTTTGAAATTGACTATAAAAAAAAAGTTGCATATGCCAAGCAGTAAGCCAAAACGGCATGGTCATCGGTTTCATATTGAAGTCATGAACTGGAAAATGTTTATCCGTCACATTCTATCATGCAATCATCACATCATTATTTATTATTATACATTCTTATTGTCTGTCGTATCCTTAAAGTTTACCATAATTATGCAATTACGAACACACAAAAGGATTAATGGTAATGTATGACGCCATTTCCCCTGATTGACTTGTCACGATAAAATTTTGGATATAGTGTCAATGTAACATTTCCTTCATTGAGATGTAACATTTTTACTTGTATTTGATAAACTGTTGGCACAGAGTTATGTGTCGCCTGTCGGACAATGACCTACGGGGCAGGGCCTCCAAATACTCATCAAACTGATATGTATACCGATACTTATGCAACTTTACAGAAAATATCATTGATCTTTTAACAAGTAGTTCCTATCAAACTTTTTTAAGCAGAAAACTCATTGAATATTGCTAATTAATTCAAAGCCACTGGACCATGACCTAGAGGGAAGGGCCTCGAAATAGTCGTCAAACTGATAATAATGTAATTTTATAGAAAATATCATTGATCTATCACAAGTTGTTCCTATCAAGTTTAAATTGTATCTTTATTGGAGTATAACACGTACTTTGTCAAGCTTGAAATGTCCCAAAAACTATCTGAACTGGTCTTGAAATAATCATGAAAAGTAGTTTAGTAACTGTTATTTAATATCAGAGACATGCATACTATATATGTCTCGGACAAGACCAATTATAAAATACAAAATTACCATTAAGCAGAAAACGTTACACTGAAAGTTGGGTTTTTAATTGAAAGTCGCTGGACCATTACCTAGGGGACAGGACCTCTAAATAGTCGTCAAACTGTTATGTACTGATAGTAATGCAACTTTATAGAAAATATCATTGATCGACCACCAGTAGTCTCTATGGGTACAAGTTGGTTGAAGTACGAGTTGGTAAAAGTACGAGTTGGTAGGAGTACTGGAGTTGGTAAAAGTACGAGTTGGTTGAGAATTAACGAGTTGGCAAAGGTACGAGTGTATTCGTTCCAATCAAACTGACTTAAGCAGAAAACTTAACAATTGTTGACGCCGCCGGAAAAAGCAACATTTATGTCTCGCCATCCGCGACAAACGAGACCAAAATATATTCCTCAGCAGCAAATTTTGATAATCCTGCATTTAAGGCATAACGCCATGTACCTGGAAAGGAAGCTGCCCTGTTATTTATACAGCTGGTTTAATATCAAACATTGTCGTAATCATGAGCTATAGTACAATAATATATTTACAGCTGAAACCAGTCTAAATGTTCTCTAAAAAATATTTTCATCTTGGATCAAACTGAATTTAAGACCAGACATGTTCAACGCCTTTTAACCATAAATTGCAATTTATAGTTATCAATAACGAAGACTTGATCATGTTGATGGCAATGTTACTATTTGATAATCTACTGTGCCCTTCAACGGTTAAAGTCCTTTTGATATTAGACTTATGATCGCCAATCACTTTTTCATATGCTCACGCATAACAGGAAATTATACTAATCAACTAAGACAATTTGCTCCATCACTTCATATTTTTCTTCATCAAAGCCTGTCGACAATTAAATTCAATCAAACTTTTAGTTCAATTTCAAATATCGAAAAAAAGATTTGTTTTAGCATGTGTTTTTATTTGCTCCAAAGTTATGTTCGCGTTCAAGTGTCCACTTTTTGATTGGAATCTAAACCATAGAATACAATAATATCGCCACCACATTTTTCATACGTCAATAAATTAAGGCAACAGTAGTTCACAGATGTTCAAATCTCAACAATTGATGATGCAAAACAAATCAAATTACAAATTTAAACTGATTGCTAGTTATATTTAATCAAGTTGACAATTTAAATATAAAATTTAAAATAAGGTAAATTTCAGCCACTCTATAGTCAGAGAAAAATGCCTTATTGTAAAAGAGAGGTGAGAGATACCAAAAGGGTAATTTAAACTAATAAGTCGAAAATAAACTAACAATGTCACGGCAAAAAGCCGAAAAACGATCAAAAGACAAATAACAGTATACAAAACACAACATAGAAAACTAAAGCAACACGAACCCCACCAAAAACCGGGGGCTGATCTCAGGTGCTTCAGAAGGGTAAACAGATTATGCCCTACATGTAACATCCGTTTTGTTTATGACCTATAAAAATATGTTGATTAGTAATATCAAGTGAGTATGCATCACACAATAGCGGATTGGAGATTGATTCTTATCTAATCCTAAGACACCGCCAAATTAATTAACTATCGGTTAAGTTTATGTTCCAACACAAAAACTTGATCAACTGTACAAATTAATGTCATGCAAGTCATGATTTTGAATCATATTGAAAAGGCATTTATAATTATCACCTAAGATTGGTTGAAACCTGAGAAATATGAAATTTCCAGTAATTTAAATCTTTTCATTTCTATCCTAAGTTTATTTTATGTGATGCATTCTAAGAATTTTTATATTTTTTTTACCAAAATATGTATTTGCATGTTATTAATGGGAATACAAGGATACAGTTGGTTTATTCTGTGACTTCAGGTGAGCATGTTTGAATGAAAACAAAATATTACCACGACCTGCACATGCTAAAACTGTTTGGGCAATTTTTAGACACTGGTATAATAGTGCTGTGTTTTGGCTCCTTGAATTGAACAATGAAAAGATCTTATAAATATATCAAAATTTATTTTTTTATAACAATTGTTATCAAAACAAATAATTTTGATATGTTTAAACTTGTCTTGTATATTTGTTTTTAACTTCTTATATTTTAGGAACAAATGTAAGCAAATTCCAAAAATTAACTTATTATATTGTCTTGTCATTAATATTGAGATATGAGCAGCACGCTATATTTTTCTACAAAATGTGTTATTATAAAATGATGATGTGTGTAAAATATTCCTATATCATATATATGTATTAATTAACCAATAAATATTTTTTTATCAGGAACAGAATGATATTTATACATCCTCCTCTACATTTTTGTTCAAACAAGACGCCATAAAAGTAAACTCCACTATGTCAAGTAACAACTTTTCTACAATACTTGTTCAAAGCGTTAACTGCAGTGAAACTTTAATCTGTTGGTTGAGATACTACGTTCCCTAACATAGAAACAGAAAAATCTGAAGACATTAAACTGAGTCCTGGAAAAAAGTAAAGTTCCTTCTCCTCGCAATATTCCAATAAAACAATTTGTGCAACAGAGGTCTTATCGACAGTCCCGTCTTTCTTGTTTGGTACCACAGCTTGGAGCAGACATGCGTTCGCCTGTAAAAATCGAAGGTAAAATTTAAACCATGAAAGAAAAAATAAACTTGGAGCTTACAAATTCATTCATCTTTAACTTTTCGAAATTCAGCTCTGAGAGTCCCTGTAGAAGGTAATTCAGAGACTCTATATTGCGGATTAAACAATTCATGAATATACAAAGATAATTTGTATATTATGTACTAAAATAAATATTACAATTGTTTCAACTAAATCAGATATCAGAGTTACAAAGTAATAATGACATCGGTATTTTTTTTTTATATCTGTGACTGCCGTATAGATATTGACTGATGACCGATATAATGATTGATGATCGGTATAATGTTTTTTCTCTCTCAGAAAGCATAGCTAACACTCCAACAGAATTGATGCTTCTACTTAACTGGGGCTCTAAAGAGCCTTACTTAGGTATATGCGCAATTTCAATATTGTAGACTACTGTTTACAGTTCCTCTCTATCTTATTTAATTTTTGCCCAAAACACAAAGACGGTAAAAAAAAATCGTCATTTAAGGGTTATCACTCCTATATACTAAATTTTTCAGCTGAATTGCCCTGATTGTAGATCTTGTCTTGCTGATCATTTTTGTTATCTAAAATTTCTGTCTATCGTTCATAATTTTCAAGATGATAGGCAATTCGTCATTTAAGGACAATAACTCCTATAAAAAGTCGTCAGACAGTTTTGACGTAAATAGACAATAGGTAGAGCTCAACATTCTAAACATTTCAGACCCTGTCCAATATTCTTTATTTACAGCTGTTTTCAAAATAATAGACACAACTTACATTTTACTCCTATGTTCTATTTTTTTGCTATGTCCACCATCTTGATTGGAAGGCGAGGTCATCGGACACATTTTTTAAACTAGATACCCTAATGATGATTGTGGCCAAGTTTGATTAATTTTGGCGCAATAGTTTCAGAGGAGATGATCTTTTGTAAAAGTTAACAGACGACTGACTACGAATGGCAGACAACAACGACAGACGATGGATGCCAGGTGAGCTAAAAAACAAGTTATATGTGAATTGGTCTTTTTCTTTGACCTGAAGGCCATCAATGTACATACTTATTTTTGAAATGATTTTGAATGAATGGAAATGCATGTTTTACAGATATTTAACATAAAGTGAAGATCTTTCCTGTACACAGAAAAAAATGATACCCTTTCTAGAGCTTGTATTTGTATAAAAATAAGAAGATTTGGTATCATTGCCAATGAGACAACTATTCACAAGAGACTAAATGACACAGAAATTAACAACTATAGGTCACCGTACGGCCTTCAACAATGAACAAAGCCCATACCGCATAGTCAGCTATAAACGGCCCCGAAATGACAAATGTAAAACAATTCAAACAAGAAAACTAACGGCATAATTTACGTACAAAATAATGTACATGAGTACTCTAAACAGATCTCAGGAATTCTTTTGTATCCACCTCTGATGCACAAAGTCCCAAGAGTATGTAGTTTCAAAGTAGTTCTGAAGCCTGATTTTGATAAATTGAAGATAATTGCAAAGTGTGACAATGAAAAAATGTACAAATTCTAAAATCTTTTCCCATCATTACCTCTTTCATCATTTCTAGAAATGATTTCTCATGAGCCATTTTTTTAAAAACATGAATTAATGCCTGCATAAAATATGATCCATTCATTCCTTCTCCAATGATCCATGGGCCTTTTTCTAAAATAAACAATGAAGTCCAAACACATCAAGAGTTCTATTTAAGACATACTATTAGATGTTTTGTCAATCGTCTGAAAACTAAATCACAATATCTTCAGTTTAAGTGCTATCTCTTTCAAAAACCAGTTGTTCAATCAAATTAGATTAGAACATTGATACTAATTAAGAAACAATTTAAACTTTTTGCAGCGTCATATTATTAAGTCCTTCTGAAAAGTTCTAAAGTTTCACTGCAAAGAAAGAAATTATTTAACGCATATGGCACATTCACTTATCATTTAAGTAAACTGCTTCATACATTTGTCATATGGAAAACAAGTAAAACTGTAATGATACCCCTGCTTTTAGAATTCGGTAAACATGAAGTAGATTAGCAATAAATCTGAAAACATATCACACAGTAAAACATGTTCACATGAAGCCTGACAACAAATTTCAGGAAACTCTTATTTGTAGTTCCCTATAAAAATGTGACAAATATTTTATACATGACCATTATGTGTTAGAATATATATCGTTTAACAGGAAGTTTATGAGTCAAAAATCTGAAAAAATATCACATGGTAAAGCATTTTCACATGAAGCTTGATAACAAAATTTGGGAAGGTCTTATTTATAGCTCCTTGGAATAAACTGTTGACACAGAGAGTTGTCTCACCTGTCGGCATAAAATTCAGAAAAAGACAATCTGATGAACAGCAACATTGCTAATTAATTCAAAGTTGCAGGACCAACTAGTGGGCATGGTGGGTAGGGCCTGGAAATGGTTGACAAAGTGAGATGAACAGACAGCAATGTAACTTAATAGAAAATATTGTCTATTGAAAGTAGTTCCTATCAAACTAACTTAATCAGAAAACTTCACATTGAAAATTGTTAATTGCTTGAAAGTCACTGGACCATGACCTAGGGGGCAGGGCCTTGAAATAGTTGTCAAACTGATATGTATTGATAGTGATGCAACTTTATAGAAAATATAATTGACCTATCCCAAGTAGTTCATATCGAATTAACTTAAGCAGAAAACTAATCATTGAAAATTGCTAATTAATTTGAAAGTCACTGAACCATGGCCTAGGGGGCAGAGCCTCAAAATTAAGTCGTCAAACTGACATGTATTAATAGCAATGCAACTTCATACAAAATATCATTGATCTATCAACAGTAGATCCTATCAAACTAACTCAAGCAGAAAACATAAAATTGAAAATTGCTTATAAATTCAAAGTCATTAGACCATGTCCTAGGAGCCAGGGCCTCAAAATAGTTGTCAGACTGATAAGTACTGACAGTAATGCGACTTCATAAAAAATATCATTGATCTATCACAAGTAGATCCTATCAAAACTAACTTAAGCAGAAAACTTAACATTGAAAATTGTTTATTAATTCAAAGTCACTGAACCATGACTTAGGCAGCAGGGCCTCAAAATAGTTGTCAAACTGATAAGTACTGACAGTAATGCGACTTCATACAAAATATCATTGATCTATCACAAGTAGATTCTATCAAAACTAACTTAAGCAGAAAACTTAACATTGAAAATTGCTAGTTAATTCAAAGTTGCTGGACCATGACCTAGGGGGCAGGACCTCGAAATAGTCATCAAACTGATATGTACTGATAGTAATGCAACTTTGTATCAAATATCAATGATCTATCACAAGTAGTTCCTATCAAACTAACTTAAGCAGAAAACTTAACAATTGTTGACATCACCGTCGCCGGAAAAGCAATCCCTATGTCTCGTTTCCGATAATTTCGTCGCTGGCGAGACGAAAAAGGTGACCAAAATTCAAAAGATGGCCATTATGTGTTAGAATATATATTATTTAGTAATCGGTAAACAAGAAGTCGATGGGCAATGAATTTAAAAACACATCACATGGTAAAGCATACTGACAAAAAGACTCGTCATAACTGTAGACATAACTGGTCTGTAAATAGAGGTTAGAAAGGATAGCTAGCATTTTAATTGCAGTATACAGGCCCATGATTAAAACTCAAAACTGTAACATAAGTTTTTGAAATGATCACAGGTAAAATATGATAATGTGCCTTAATCTATATAAAATAAATGAGGAATGTGTCCATGGGACACAGATGATGCCCCCGCTTGCATATCATATAAAGCTATAAAGGGACACAATTGAAGAGTGGTAAAAGTGACGCTACCCAAATTTGTACTTGATCTCAGTTTTGTGGTAAGAAGTATTTTGTATAAGTTTCATAACATTTGTTTGAGGCTAATTTAAGTTAGAGAACGGCAACGAAAAATTCAACAATTTTTCCATTTGTAAAGGGGCATAACTCTAGAACGGTTAAAATAACACCACCAAAATTCAAACTTGATCTGTATTTTATGGTAATAAGTATTAGGTATAAGTTTCATAACATTTGGTTGAGATAAACTTAAGTTAGAGAACGGCAACGAAAAATTCAACAATTTTTCCATTTGTAAAGGGGCATAACTCTAGAACGGTTAAAGTGACGCCACCAACATTCAAACCTGATCTGTGTTTTGTGGTAATAAGCATTGTGTATAAGTTTCATAACATTTGGTTGAGGCAAACTAAAGTTAGAGAACGGAAATCAATTTGATACGTATGTAGCGGACAAGGGTAAAACGAAATTGACAATGAGGGTCGGTTGAAAACAAAACTTTACGACAAAAGAGATGATTTCAGCTTCCCAATTGTGAACTTTCCATTTCTATGTAGCAACATTCCAGCAGCGCCTGCATACGGAGTATATATCTACCAATTGATACGATATTCCCGGGCTTGTGTTTCCTATCATGATTTCCTTGATAGAGGATTGCTGCTCACAAGGAAGCTATTAAGCCAAGAGTTCCAAATGGTGAAGTTGAAATCATCCCTTCGTAAATTTTACGGACGCCATCACGAGTTGGATGACCGTTATGGAATAACCGTTTCACAGATGATATCGGATATGTTCCTTATGTCGTAACTATAATATCCTTCCCTTTTCACGAATGTGACTTACCGAATTAGACTATTTACCGGATTTGTAATAACATAAGCAACACGATGGGTGCCAGATGTGGAGCAGGATCTGCTCACCCTTCCGGAGCACCTGAGATCACCCCCAATTTTTGGTGAGGTTCGTGTTGCTTAGTCTTTAGTTTTCTATGTTGTGTCATCTGTACTATTATTTGTCTGTTTGTCTTTTTATTTTTGGCCATGGCGTTGTCAGTTTGTTTTCGATCTAAGAGTTTGACTGTCCCTCTGGTATCTTTCATCCCTCTTATAATGCCCCCTCCGCTACGACGGAGGCATAAAAAATCAATTGCAATTTATATTTAATCAAGACAGATAAACAGTCCTGCGTATATGTAACATTTACTTATTTATTTCCATATAATGCTGTGACATTTGAAAGGTAATAAACAGCTGTACCAGAGACGCAAAATACACCAGTCCTGTGAACGTTGAAATTCATGCAATAATCAAATGGAATATTGTAGAAGACATTAAATAAGAAATAGTAACACAGCCTTGCAGAAAATCTGTAGGCAATTTCAAAATTGCCTTAAATTTGACGATTAACATGATTAAAGTCCCATAAATCTGGAAAATTGAATCTTTTTTTTCAAAATGGAAAGAGAGCTTTTATATTTTAGGCAATTCCAACAATAACATATAAATGTATGTTATTTGTAGTAAACTGATCAAAGTATATTTGAGTAAGTAAATTTGCAATCTCAATTTTTTTACAAAGTGTGGTGGGATGTACTGACATACAAAGATATAACATAATATATCCTGTCTATCATATGCATGTCTATCATAAACTAAAAAATATCTATACTTGTCCTTGGTTGAGAAGACACCACAAATAAATCTTTATTATTTGACCCTTTGTCGTAAAAATGCAGCTCCTGTTTTTCAACATCCAAGTCATCATATGTTTCTGTTTCTTCTTCAAATAAAAAGGAAAAAGAAGCATAGTATTTCAACAATTACAAAGCTTGCCTCTTATTTCCATTCTTTTTGAAATACTTTATTCTGCATAACTGAATTACGATAAAAGTATATGAAATGAGCTGTATTCATTTTTCTTAATTTATTATTGTACTTATAAAATTAACATCCTAATGCTAATATTTACAGAGATGTTGTTTACAGAGCAGGTAAATGTAGATACAATCCATGTAAACTCATCGATATTTTGAATACACTTTTTCTTAAAGGTAATCAATTAAACACAGTAGTACAATTTTTTAAAATTGCTTTATCAGTACTAACATTGATTTTGTTGTTGAAAAAAATCAAACATAATTAAGTATATATCGGTACTATGTACAGCTATGAGAACTCATGATCCTTCATCCTATCGATACAGTTAACTTGGCATTTCTTTTAGCATATCACAATGTCATGCTCTTCTCAGACTGTTTATGAATGTTTGTAATTGGCTTTAAACTAGCTTTCAGTAATCAAGTACTCTTAAACTGGTCCTTCAGTCTGTTGTTTGTATAATAATCTTTTCTATTCATAATTTATTTAATGCTGATATACCTAAAGATCAAGTTTTCCCACAAGTATCACAAAAACTTAACATTATCAAAGATCCACAAAAATGAGGTCAAGGTCAGATGAAACCTCCAAGACCTTACAGTAATTATATACATCAAATATAGTTGACCTTATTGCTTATAGTATCTGAGAAACAGATTTCACCTTGAAACCTTAACATTGACTAATGAACCATGAAAATGAGGTCAAGGTCAGATGAATCCTACCAGACAGACATTTTACACTAATAATGTTTTGGGGCCCTTTATAGCTTGCTGTTCGGTGTGAGCCAATGCTCCGTGTTGAAGGCCGTACCTTGACCTATAATGGTTTACTTTTATAAATTGTAACTTGGATGGAGAGTTGTCTCATTGGCACTCATACCACATCTTCCTATATCTATGTACACCTTACAATCATTCCATCCATCAAATAAAGTTGACCTCCTGCTTATAGTATCTGAAAAACGGACCTGATCATTTACTTTAACCTTGATCACTGATCCATAAAATGTGGTCGAGGTCAGGTAAACCCTGTGTGACGGAAATGTAGACCTAGCAAGGAAAACACATACTAAATATAGTTATTCTATTACTCATAATAAGTGAGAAATTCACATAACATAAAAATTTAACTTTTTTTTAATCAGTCACTTAACCATGATAATGATGTCAAGGATAACTGACATATGACAGACGGAAAGTTCATAACATAAGGCATCTGTATGCAAGGTATGAAGCCTCCATGTCTTCTACCGTCACCCTCTGAAATATAGTGAATTTAAACAGTTTATGCTGCCCGCTCCGGATTTTAATCCCTATTTCTCGCATTCTGTGACTTTCATCGTAGGCGAGACAAAATTTAAATCTGACTGGAGCTGGTAAATGACAAGCCCCATTACCACAGTATAAAGAAGTACCCCTTCATTGTTACAATAAGGCTTAGCTTATATACCTTCAAAATTGTATGTACTTATAATGACAACTTTTGGTTTTCCTGCAAAAGCTGGGGATTCTTGAATGATTGAAAATATTTCTTTATTTTCTATTTCGTTGTCATATTTGTCATATATTTGTCTTGGTTTATATTTATCTCCACCAGAGAAGATTACTATAACTAAGCTGTCAAAAGATGAATTCTCTTTGTTCTTTAAATTGTCTTGAAGAAACATCTTCATGTCCTGTATCAAAAATAAACAATTGAAATATCTTCTTTAAAGTACAGCAGGAAATATATCATTCAACCAAAAAACATTACAAGAATTAAGCTATAATAACTTTAATTGTCTGCTTCCCTATGCATCTTCCCAACAAAACAATAAACTTATTTGAAGATGTCATCTTTTTTATATTTTGATATGCACAGTTACTTTCTTTCCAGTACATGTATTGCCTTCCAAATAAAATCCAAAACACTAAAAACAGCATTAATAGACAATAACTCAAATAACAATACTGTTGGTGTATTAGGTATTGCAGTTTTCCCTATTTTCTATTTAATATTTGGATTTCCCACTATGTTCCATATTTAATAATAATTTTGAATTCATGTTGCTTGATATCCTGAGGATGAACTTCCCAAAACATAAGACTTGACAGATAAGCAATAAAATTTTCAGTAATAATTAAAGACTTTTTTTTTATAGAATAAAAGCATATAACAAACTTTATTTTTTACTTCAATATATATAGACTACGAAAACTATCTTCTCTAAAGATATAAGTTAAAAGCCTATGCATAAAGAGAACCTTGTAAAATTAAATGTATGCTAAGTTTCTAATAAAATAATGTGTTGATATGATTTTTAAGCCCAACTGACCTATTTGTTTCCTATGAGCTATTGAAATGACTTGATAGCCAAGTTTTGTTTTCGACATCATTTCCATTTTTAGTATCATTTACATTGGCCTCATTTTAAGCATCATTTACATCATTCTATTATAATAATTTTTTATGATAACGGCCATAAACAAACAAAAAAAGTCATTGATCAGGTTTGCTTGCATCAGTTTTTTTAATCTATTATATTTTGCAAGATAATAATCAAATATGCAAACAACTGATGAAAATATCATTTAAGGTGGTATGGTAGTCTTCCGCCATCTTAGATTCTAAAATAGGTCCAGAAATTTATTTAAATCTATAATATAGTAAAATTCGATGACGAAATTCAATTTACGAATAAGATTTTTCTTTTAAATGAATACATTTGTGTGATCTTAAGTTATATTACTCATGTTTTTAGAAAGTAATAAATGTTCGCTTTATATGTTTTTTTTTAAAACTTTGTATATATTTGGCGGAGGTAACTCAGAAAATGTATAATTCTTAAAGGAATCTTCAGGAAAATTTTCTGAAAGCATTTTTTTTAGAGCTATGTTCTCATAATTTTTTTTAAAAAACTATAATTTACTTCCGAATAATACTTTTTGGCTTTTTTTTTTTTAACTTTTTTTGATTCGAGCGTCACTGATGAGTCGTTTGTAGACGATTATGGCGTCTGGCGTAGAACATTTTAATTCTGGTAAACATGATGAGTTTATTTCTATTCACATTATGATGCTTTTCCACTGTTAAATCCAAACAAAAAATGCAATTTTTACATAATCTGTAGCTTTAAAACAAGCTCGGTGACCTATCAGTTTTTTTTTTTTTTTTTATATATTTAAACAAATTAAAACATATAGTAGATTTTGGCAAAGTATGAAAAAATTCATCTTTCATGTATACTCCCGTAGCACATTTATGCCAATAACTGTTATAAGCGATTGATTGACAATTTTGGATCAATAAATATAATTGCAAATCTAAGTTAGTCTAGTTAAATCTGATAGTTTTGAGATGACAATTTCTCTCAGTTTAAGTTTCAAAATATATGCCAAAACATGTGTTCGCCCTATGTTCTATTTTTAGACACAGTAGCCATGTTGGTTGATTGGTCGGGAAGAAATTCAAGTATTTTATTTGCGACACCCTCACAATCAATCAAACCAAGTTTGGCTGAAATTAGTCTTATATTCCATAAACAAAGATTTTGAAAAAAGCTAACTATATGCTACGAAATACAACAGACGCCTAGTGATGGCAATGCTCACTTGCACTTTTAGGCAAGGTGAGTTTAACATAAATGATTATCCAGCATGATTAAATTCTAGTCATGAAAGGCTTTTTTCCTTGGGTTAGTAAAACCTGTGCTAAAAATGTATAAATACAAAAAGAAAATATTCATGATTTCCTTTCTTAATGTATCCAATCTGATTTGAATACTAATCATGTGTCCACACTTTGCTTACAAGAATCTGACAACACTCCCTTCTTCTTTCTGTAATAGTAATTATTACATCACTAAATGAAATTTTGGCCTTCATATTTTTAAGGTGTTTATAACCATTACGACAAAACAAGCTGATCCCAGCAGGCCTTTTAGACAGAAAGTTGAACAGAACGTTGTCACATACTTGTTACCGAAATGAGTCACCGAATTTGTATTTCAATCAGATTGTAATGTATGAAAACTTTAATTGTGCTGATGGTTTAGAACGAGAAATTTGATCAATCCCTAATATTAGAATTTTTGTTTTCATACGAACAAAAAGAGATGTGGGTAATAAATTAATGAGGCAGAAACCCCTCTCCCAAAACAAAATCCTACCAAAAGACTTCTAGGGGTAGCATACATATCGAAAGATTATGACACTTTATAGCAGTCAACTTATTAAATACAATTACTATTGCATAGGTTAAAAGAATATATGTTTTCGGCAATTTGTTGTGCTTGGTGACTGTCTCATTTACAATTACCACACAAACCAAGGTCATTAGTGGTTACTTGTTCAGTAATGGTATCATATCCTTAATTTAAACAACAAATATTGATGAACAGATATTTGTATATATTCAAATATACATTCGGTATTTTTGTTATTTTACTTTTTATCTTATCAAATAGAAAACTAAACTTCTGATTTTTGTTGAAGACTTATATACAAGTTCTAAGACATTACGACAAATCAATGCAACAAAAAAGTTTTAACAAAAGTACGAACTCAAAGTTAAATTCAAAAATGGAAGTCCATAAAACCTGGAAAAAAACACACTCGACGATATCAGCCAACAGAACAAATGGAAAAGAACTGTCATATTTCAGCCATTACATCAGTCAACTTACTAAATACAATTACTTTTACATAGATTTACAGAATATTTGTTTTCGGCTATTTGTTATAATTAGTTTCTGTCTCATTGACAATTACCACAGAAACCAAGGCCTTTTGTGATTACGTGGTCAGTTATGGTATCAAATTCTTAATTAAAACAAAACAGTAATGAAGATATTGATTTTGAAGAACAGATATTTGTATATTTTTAAACATAAATATCCTATCAAATAGAAAACAAAAATTCTGATCTCTGTTGAAGGTCGACAAATTCTGGGACACTACGATGAATCAATGCAATTTAAAAGTATTAACAAATATACGAAGTCCATAAAACCTGATAAAAACACACTCGACTATATCAGCCAACGAAACAAATTGAAAATAATTGTCAACGTTCAGCCGTTACAGCAGTCAACTTACTAAATACAATTACTTTTGCATAGGTTTACAGACTATTTGTTTTCGGCTATTTGTTGTAATTGGTTTCTTCCTCATTGACAATAACCAAAGAAACCAAGGTTTTTAGTGGTTACGTGGTCAGTTATGCTATCAAATTCTAAATTTGAATAAAAAAATATTGAAGATATTGATTTTGAAGAACAGATATTTGTATATTTTTAAACATATATATCCTATCAAACAGAAAACAAAAATACTGATCTTTGTTGAAGGTCTACAAATTCTGTGACCTTATGATGAATAAATGCAATAAAAAAGTATTTAGCAAAAATACAGAACTCAAAGGTAAATTCAATACAAGAACCATTGACCCCCTAAAAGCACATGGGACATAATTGTTTGTTAAATTGTTAAAAGGCATTGATTTTCAAAACTGTCATCACCATTGCTGATATAAACCTTAGATATAAATTTAAGAACGATCTGGCAAGAATTGTACACATGAAAGCACTTACCATGCATTTTTCTATATCATTATTATTTCCAAGGAGCATAACTCGTTGAAAAGATATTGATCTTCACTGAGTTTCGAACTTTTCGGGTCATTGCTGATATAAACCTATGATATAAATTTCATAAAAATTTGGCAAGAACTGTTCGCGAATGTGTGTTAACAATGCAATTTTCCATATAATTAATATTTCTATGGGGCATAATTCTTTTAAAAATTATTCATCAGCACTGATTTTCGAACTTAATCCCGACATTACTGATATAAACCTATGATATAAGTTTCGTAAAAATTTGGCAAGAATTGTTAACGTTGTCCCGTAGCGCTAACAAAATCAGACAAACAGACAGACGCCGAGTATTTCAATGTCCCCCTGCACTGCGGCGGGGGTGGGGTGGGATAGGAGTGTGGTGGAGGACGAGGGGGTTGGATTCCGCGGGTGACAAACATGGGAAGTCCATAAAACCTGATATAAAACACGCTCAACTATATCAACCAACGGAACAAATGGAAAACAACTGTGGTATTCCTGACATAATACCAGGGTTTTTTTTCAAAGAAAATGGTGGGTTAAACTTTGTTTTATAGCTAGCTTAACTTGCCTTTTGTATGACAGTTTTTATAGTAACGTTATATTGACAAAAATGTGTTGAGCAACCAAAACAGACATAATTGGCTAACGTGGCAATATTTCAAATCCATAAACATACTTAAGTAATAGTAAAAGCTCAATGATTAGTTAATATTGATATTAAAAGACCTTCGAACAAAAAGGGATGGTGAGATTTGAACAGCCCTTTTTGTGAGGAGGTCTTTTAATGTCAATATTAACTTAATAATTGAACTTTTACTGACTTACAAACCGTCAAAATCAGAAGAAAAGTACACACAAAAAAAAACGCTTGCAGAAGCCTTATTCCCCTGAATTGGACGAGTCTAAATATATTCAACTTAAATAATAGTTAAACAGTACTCAGACTGATATAGACAAATAACAGTTACCTAATTGCATTGAAAAAGGACCGATTACATCATTTAATTATTTATTTATTATATTTTTAGCATTAGAATAAGACCATAGGATAGTTTTATAAAATTAAGAGGTAAATTTATATATTTGAATTCCAACTTTTCAATATAACGATTTTCTACTTTATAAATGAGGAAATCAAAACCCTATACAGTCCTCATTTACAACTGACCAATGAATGTTCTGCACCAAAACTTCTTGTTATATATATTTGATGTTTGTAATCTGTCAATAATCATGAAGTAGATTCGTAAAGACTAGACCATATGAATACAGTAAGTAAAATCTTTCAACAATTAGTTATTTAATAAGATTGTTTCACAACTTCTAATCGAACAGACCTACATGCATGAGGTCCTTCACAATATTCAGGTAAATATTCAGTTTGGTTTTGATTCTGTAATTTTCCTACACTACGTTATTTGCAAATGCAAAATAATTAGTTTTGTCTGTTCAGTCCAATAAATTAATAAATCGTGTTTTGTTTGCTTATTTTCAAAGAAAAACTTTGCACGTAAACTCCAATGAATAAAATCGAATTAAATATCCTAAATGTAACATCTTTAGCATCAAGTTATTTTTTTTATTAGTAGTTATTTGCTATGAACTAGTCAGTAACTGTGAGTACTCTCAGATCTGGCGCCACCTAACTAGTTAAACCCCGCCACATTATGTGTATGCCAGTCCCAATTTAGTGGTTCTCATTTTTTGCTGTGTTACATATTTGTTTTTCGTTCATCATTTTGTACATAAATTATGCCTTTATTTTTCTCGTTTGAATTGTGTTACATTTGTCATTTCGGAGCCTTTTATAGCTGACTATGCGGTATGGGCTTTGCTCATTGTTGAAGGTCGTAAGGTGACCTTTAGTTGTTACTTTCTGTGTCATTTGGTGTATTGTGTAGTGTTGTCTCAGTGGCAATCATACCACATCTTCTTTTTATATGTAGGTTTGAGTTGCTCGATCAAAACGTGTACAGATGAGATATTTTTGCAAGGTTGATCATCATTCTTAAATTGAAATACAATGTATTATATGAAAACATACACTTACATTTAAGTCGCCCGTCATTCCGTTTTCACGTTTAAATGTAGCATAAACAAACACCTTGAAAAAAACCTTTTACCTTTCTTAGTTTCATAATCCCCTGACAAAATCATAAATCATAAATCGTAGATAAGAACCATATTAATTTTTTTCTTTTTATAAGTGTTCAGTTATGTAGTAAATTGCAAAACCATAAAAAAGTGTGCACTATTATTGAGTGATTTAAATGGAAATTTTACATTGTAGCATTTTACAAGATCTTGTCTTTGTGTACTATATACATGGAATAATTTATGAAGTTGATTGCTTGTTGTTTGCTTTACGTCCAGTGGCAAATATTTCATTCATGTTCATGACGAGAACACATCAATTTTAAATACAATAGGTAGGTCTTGCAATAGGAGGTCGACAGTGAGGTCACGTAGACGAGACTGCAGTCGTTGTACGAAACAATATATGAGTTATTGCCACTCAATGAAAAAAAAATGTCTGTTCTACTCCCCTCCTCCTAGTTTGGTTTGATAGGATACAATGTAACCCCTGATGTGGACTAAGTTATTTAATGTTAAAAAAAGATTAAATGCAAAGAGAAAAATGAGGAAAGGAATGCTAAAATTTACGCTTAAAAAATCAAATATGAATAAAATCAAATGTATAAAAATTTGAAAACTGCCTGAGATAAATATCAACTGAAGACTAATGATTATACATCACTAAATGGTGCTGATTAATTAATTGCTCCCTTGATGTCCAGTGGCAAATATGTCATATATAGTCATCACGAGATGTAAAGTTGAACAACCTGAAGCAAATGATAACAATTTTAGAGAGACTCTTTAATAAGATAGAGTGTTGACTAGAGGTAAAACGTATGCCGTAATAGAATAAAGTTGTACCATAATCAAAATCGTAAGTTAAGCTATTACCCCCTCCCCTTTTTTTTGTCTCCACGGTAGACGAATGCCAAAAACAAAACGACATGAATTTTAAATCAATAACGGCCACTATAAGTAAATAAGATATGGACTTATTTTGTAAATAAATTCCTATTGTATCCAGCATCTCCCGGTTTCGGACAATGTTTGTATTTCCACTCACTTTCATTCTCTGAAATTGTAAATTATGGTATTTCATTGGCTGTTTTTCCCCGATCCTATTTTGGACCCCCTGTTTTAAGAGCGCGTGTCTAATTAGTCATGCCCGATTAACTGTTAGTAAATTGAACCTCAACTTAAAGACCTACACCGGGTTAATAAGTTCGAGGTACAATAAGTAAACTAAAGATATCCTTTATGAAATGAGATCGTCCCAGGTATCTTAGATAATTATTTTGCTTTGAATAACAATGGAAAATGCACGACAGGTTTGTAACGTGTAGATAAAGTATGCAACCGCTCTACTCATGAAAATTTGATTAGATTCCGAATGGTGGCGGGGGTACCAGCACTGTATATAAAGACAACACCTATTCAACATATAAAAATATGATTCTACAGAGGGGTTTTAAAGATAAGTTAGGTTAGATTAGTTAAGATCAATGTTTCTCCTGTTATGTGTTGTTACCTGTTCAAGAAATAGAAATGATCATTAGCTGGATAACCCGCAAAGTTTTAAAACACTTATTAGAACAGTTTTGATTATAGTACAATAGGGGTCGTGCAACTATAGGCAATTGAGTATGATTGCTAACAAAAAATACCGAAACGAAAACAAATTTTGAATACTACTTTCAACCATGCCTCACATGGTTGCGTTTATTTAACGATAGCAGAACCATGGCGAGGATTATTTGACGATGGAAAAAGATAATTTGATGATGGCAGTGCGCCATCATAAAACAGGTAAATGAAGATCCCTGCATACATCACATACATACAAAACAACAGACTTGAAACATACATACAAATAAATCTGACAAAAACAACAAAATATGTAGCTAATAGTACATACAATATAGTAAAACAAAATGACATATACACAAAGCACTGTTCCTTTTGACTCTTTTATAAAGTGCACATACAGTGTATGGATTTTTAAAAATATTTAAAACCAAATCATTCTATTTCGAAAATTGATAAAAATCTGAATGAACCTAATACACTGTGAACTCATTTTTTTTTTTCGTGGGTGCCAATTTTCGTGTATTGAGGAAAAATTGCATTTTTGTGGAATTGCATTGCGAAAGTTTGCATTTAAGCCTATATGTATTGAAAATTCACACCCTTATAACTAAAAATGAATCCAAAATATTTTACATTAACATACATATCCTGAGACATCTTTGAGTACATCAGCTCCTTTTGATTCATACTGCATATGCTTGAAAAGTTGTAATATAGAAGTTTTATCAAAGTCTATACGACTTCTACTTTTCAACTCAGTATCATTTGGTGATTGTGTATCTGTGTATTGTTTGATACATTGAACATTAGATATCATTAAAAACTTTCCTTTCTTTATCCTTGTCATATTGTAAACCTAAAAAGAAAGCAAATAACAGACAATGATTGATTAACTTGTGATACTACGCTTATTCATATACATGTTTATATACATGGAAATCATACACACCTTGTATGAATGGGGAAAAAAAAAAATATGAGAACACATTTTCATTATAAGGAAACAATGTTGATAAACATGATTAATCTAATTTTGTATAAAAAAGATATGATTGATATAAATTAAAAGCCTCAGAAATAAGTTTGACATTCCTAATTCTTCCAAAGAGTATATCTTTGAGGAGAAATTTTGCATCAAAGATTCTTGCCAAAAATAATTTTAAATCTTAAAAAAAGTATTAACAATGATACCGAACTCCAAGGTAAATTTCTAAAAAGGAGAAATCAAATAAAACCTGACAATCAAATGCTCGGAACGAATGAAAAACAACTGTCATATTCTTGACTTGGTAAAGGTATATTCCGGAAAAAAAAATGGTGGCTTAAACCTGGCTTTAGAGCTAGCTGTACCTCTTACTGTGAGTCAGTTGTTTATAATTCCATCATATTGACAAAATTGGGTGAACACCCAAACAGACATTATTGGTTCACGTTACAATAATTAGATCCAGAAGTCAAAACTGTGTAAACATACATTATAGATATACAACACAATTGACTTAAAAAAATCCAAACAAATGTACAAATAAATCTGACAAAGACACGAACAAAACATTTTTTGGAGTTGATAGTACAATACAGTAAACCATAATGACATATACACTTTCCAGATGAAGTACAAATTAAATAAAATTGAAATACAAGGATATACAAAATGAAAACAACACTATGAAAACATTATGTGTTCGAATTGCACACCTGGACCCACCCGCATCTGGAACGCTCAAAACCAAAACCCAATAAGCTTAATCATGTTAATGTACAAATACAGTGCCACGTCAAAAGTCAAACGACCTATAGAAGGATCATAATATTACAAAGGCTGGTAAAGGGAAAACTGTAAAAAAAATGAAATGATACAAAACGTCAGCATCTAGAAACTTAAACTCAAGACCATCGTGGATTATTTTTGAAGTTGACACCGACTATTTATCTATTAGGTCTTGGTACTTTCCACAAAGTTGAAGTAGCAACAGAAATATCGTATGCGTTAAGCAATGTATACTCGCGGGTGAAATTTGTATTATGCTGCTAAAATATCTTAATTGAAATCGTCTCGTTTGTCATCGACTCTGCTACTGAGATGACCACTGTAGTCAAATTGGAGGTAAATGTCTAAAAATGAGGCAGTGGAAGCTGTTTCTGTTGTTTCTCTAATCTCTAGTTTAGATGGATATATTAATTGGAAGACAATCAGAAAATTTGGATGGTTGATGAACAGAACATCATTATTTTGTTCATAGCTATTGAACAATATGTCTTATAAAACATCTGAAATATGTTAATTTGGTAGATTACAATAATTTTTGATTTTTGAATTAAAAGAGCCAACAAAAGTGGCCGTATCATATATCCTCCATTCAGAAGTTTTAATTGAGGAATCACATATATATATAACATACCAGGCAGGTGCAACTCAAGGAAATAAATATTAATCCTACAAAAAATCAGTAACAAGACCATAAATACTCCAAAACAACTGATCAGATGTACAAATACAAAAATGCTACTTGAAATTCATTGTAAGATGTAAAGAAGAAGGCAACATCAACTCCTCCAGCAGAACCTCATTGAATTGGTATCTGAACAAAAACGTTTATAAAACAATGATTTTTAGCTCACCTGGCCTTAAAAGCCAAGTGAGCTTTTCTCATCACTTGGCGACCTTCGTCCGTCGTCGTCGTCGTCTTTCGTTAACTTTTACAAAATCTTCTCCACTGAAACTACTCAGCGAAGTTTTACCAAACTTGGCCACATTGATCATTATTGTATTTAGTTTAAAAAAAATGTCCGATGATGCCGCCTTTAAACCAACATGTCCGACATGGCTGAACATAGAACATAGGGGTAAAAAATAGTTTTGTCTATTATCTTGAAAACTGCTATGTATAGAGAAAATCTGACATGAGTAAAAACGTTCATAATGTTAAGCTCTACCTGTCAAATGACTTCTTATAGGAGTTATTGCCCTGAAATGACACATTATATTAATTTGTTTTTCAATTTTGCATATCGTCTTAAAAATTATAATAGATAGAGAGAAACTTTCAAAGCAAAAATGATCAGCAAGATAAGATCTACAAATAGGATAACTTTCAATCGTCCGACAACTCTTAATTGGTGTTATTGACCTTTAATGATGATTTTTACCCTTTTTTGTGTTTTTGTCTAATATCTTAAAACAATGATAGATAGATGGAAGCTTATATTCGCACAAATGATCACAAAGACAAGATCTACAAATAAGTGAACAAGGTCGATATCGTCAGTCGACTCCTTATTTGAGTTATGGCTCTTTAATGACGATTTTTACCAATTTTTAGTGTTATTGCCTATTATCTTCAAAACTGTAATAGATAAATAAACACTTTAAATGGCAAATATTATCACCAAGACAAGATCTACAAGTAAGTCGACATTGCTTAAATCGTCAGTAAACTTCTTATTGGAATTATTGCCATTTTATAATATTAATGATTTTTACCCATTTATTGCGTTTTGTCTTATATTTTCAGAACTATTACTTATAACAGCAAAAATGATCATCAAGACAAGATCTTCAAATGAGTCAATATGGCTGAAACCGTCAGTTGACTCTTCATTTTAGTTATTGATCCTTAATGACAATTTTTTTTCATTTTCATTGTTTTGAGCAAAAACTAAAGATGATAGAGAGAAACTGATGGTAACAGAAAAAAAATATCAGCAATACAAAATCAACAAAAAAAGATTTTTGTCATGAATTTCTATTCTAGTCCACAATGTTCTAGATTGTCCATATGTGAAGATGCACATAGACCTAGGTGAGCGACACAGGCTCTTTAGAGCCTCTAGTTCCACTAACTATAAAATGTCAGTATATGTTGCATGTATCGTCTTTGATACTGTATGCATATTGATGGTTTACTCTAAACTACGGCTCTTCTTGTGTGCTACTTTTACCATTCAAAATTACCTGTCTGCTTTCACAAATCTTTCTAAATGATTTTTCAGAACACTTTTGTATATCTCTTTTCTTAACCATCATCAATCCTGTCTTTAAATCCGGCCAATCTACAAGTAGAAGATAGAAAAATTTACTATCCTACCAAAACAACCAAACTTGTATGCTACAAGGTAATGCTTTTAATGACAATAGGAGTAGTAATCACAATCTTCAATCCTTTGTTGGCAAACCAATTGTATATGTTTTTTCTAAGTAAGTAGAAGTGTGAGGTATTGCCTATCCCACAATATAAAATGCTCACATAATTGTGCTTAACATTTCATACATTGTCATTATGTGTATGAGTGTATCAGTATTACAGCAAACAGGAAGTTGATGAGCAATAAATCTGAAAATGCATCAGTCGGTATAACCTGATTACAAATTTCAAGAAGCTCTTATTTGTAGTTTTTAAGAAAAATGTTAATGGAATTTCATACATGATCATTATTTGTTAGGATATATAAGTATAATGATATGAAAATGCATCACACAGTATAGCATGTTCGCACGAAGCATGATAACCAATTCCAATAAAAGCATGAACTACATGAACCTGATTGAAGTTTTTATGAATTCTTACATTATGTTATTATAAAAATACTATTTCTATAAGTTATTTTATATATCTTTGAAATAAATTATTATTACAATTATGCAAGGAACATCTCCTGTAATTAAGATTTTCGCGTATTCTTTTTTTTTTGGGGGGGGGGGGGGGGGGGAGGGGGGTTACAAATTATAAATAACTTTAAGTCTCAAATTATTCAGATGTTTCCATTTATTTATATCAGCCTACATACAGAATTTCTAAGGAAAAGGGTATTTTAATAGTCCCAAAAAATCCAGTCTTTGATCCAGTAACGCCAATATTAAGATTGAGTGCGTCTGAAAGGCAATAAGTGTAGTGTTTCAAGAGGATTAGCTTTAATACCTCATTCGAAAAATAACCAGCTGTCTGAGATAATTTGTTTATGCCATTAAAACGTTGTTATAAAATCTATATAAATGGACACCTGTGTAAATGATATCTAGAAATTAAAGTGACTTATTTAATTAATATTCAAAAGGACCTTATTTTCAACATCACTCGTGGACCTATAGTTCAATTTAAAAATCTACTTGTTTGAGCAATGCCCTCTGACTGATAAAGTTAGGTTCAATTTTGACACAATAATCCCAACAACTGCTGATAAATTATGCAACTCAATAATTCTAACTCTTTTAGATCCATATGCAATAAAATGTCTAATACGCCTACATATTAATTGAAAAAATAGTAAACGAAAATAAAATAGAATACAAGTAAGAATTACATCTCAGATGATGTTAACATCTGTAGTAGCACATAGTTTGTTTTATGTTATTATTTATGGTACTGTGAATTTTTAATTATATTATATCAACATTTAGCATAAATAAATAGAAAATAATCAGTTTCACAGATGACAGCGGATATGTTCCAAATGTCGTAACTACAATCGCGTCCCCTTTTCTCCGAATGTGACCTACTGAATTAGACTTATTACCGGGTTTTTACTAACATGAGCAACACGACGGGTGCAACATGTGTGGCAGGATCTGTTTACCCTTCCGGAGTACCTGAGATCACCTCCAGTTTTTGGTGGGGTTCATGTTGCTCAGTCTTTAATTAGTTTTCTATGTTGTGTTTTGTGTACTATTGTATATACTGTGTACATACTAGCCGCTAGATATCGATCTTAAATCTTTCGATGTGTTAAGCCCTTAATAGTTACAAAAATAATATTATCGTTTTTTGTTTTTTTTTATTTTCGTTTTCGTGAGTAACAAGTTGGTAGACTGAAACTTAAGATTATTTCTTTTAAGATCAGCTTTGGAACGAAAAAGTCAACGTAGAAGATTACAGGTGTGTTTGAAAACTTCCTGCTTTATACTGACCGAACATTTTAAACTTAACCTTTCATCACTTCTGCATATCAATTAGGACAGTCATTGTGATGCGAACAAGCTGATTATAGTTATTTGGACTTCAATAGGTACAGTTAATATGCATAACCATCTACATAACCATCTAAAAAAGTATATTAAAACAACATCCTTCTTCCGAGTAGTATTGGGTAAAAGGTGTATTGCCAAAAGTTATTAGCGGTAGGATATGAACTACACCTTTTCCTGGAACCCATTAGATGCAAACTTTTTTTTATATTTTTTAATCAAATATCTTTAACGAGTACTCCTTTCCACCTAGGTCTAGTCAGGAGCTGACCCATCCTAAGTCCAATAAAAAACAACCATGTCTACAGGTTTGGACTGGTCTGGAGTAGACATATCCTTTGACTAGTCAAAGACAGACCTATATACATGTCTAGTCTGGACCAGACAAGGTAATAGTACTTGAATAGTCCTAAAAAGGTAGATCTAGGTTTGGTCTACCCCGAAAAAAATTTATTTGCTAGTCTTCTCAAAATTTTTCTAAGTTAACTAGAAGAGATATCAAATTGTATTCTTACAGTTAACATAAAACATAAATAATATTGATCAAATGAAAGACCGACCGTAGGGAGGTCTTTCTTTGTGCAATCCTGACACCCCGAGGTATGTTATACGACAAGAAACATATTAAAATTTGCATTATCTGACTTATATACCGCCAACAAATATTATTGCCTGCAAAAATTTGCATGATTTGCATCCTATTTTACCGACCACACTAAAGTGGGATATTCTTTTCTGATGCGTTCAGTTTTTAATTCGCCCTACGGGTCATTTATAATGCGAAATAAAACTCACTAATTAGTCTGGATATAAACTATAGAAATCAGTATTCATTTACTATTTAAATATTGCTGCAACTGCATGAAGCATCGAAAATAAGAATTGTTACGGGGTATGAAAAAAACAAGTAATTTTGTAAGTAATTTATTGTATCAACTTTATGAAAGAGGGATGCTGTGTTTTTTTTTTTTTTGTTTGTTTTTGTGCATGATATTTTTATCGCGGAAATAAAGGCAACAGTAGTATACCGCTGTTCGAAACTCATAAATTGATAGAGATAAAAACAAATCCGGGTCACAAACTAAAACTGAGGGAAATGCATCAAATATAAGAGGAGAACAACGACACAACAAAAACACAACATTAAAATGTAACACACACAGAAACGAACTATAATATAACAATGGCGATTTTCCTGACTTGGTACAGGACATTTTAAGAAAAAAATGGTGGGTTGAACCTGGTTTTGTGGCATGCCAAAAGCAGATTCTTTTCAACAATTTTTAACGAACTATTCAGAATAGTTGTTTTCTTTCTTTTGTCTAACAATACACTTTTTTTTCAAGCTGTGATTCAGGATTAAATAGTATTCTCCACCCACCACATTATAAAGTACGCGGCTGTTATTCCATAGAAAACAAGAATATATGGCCATTTGATCAGTTAATAGAATAAAAGGTATATATCGATGTAAAAAGTTAAGAACTGGCACGAAGAGATCACGGAATCGTGATACATGTACATGCAACAAGAAAAACGAATACCCATAGGTTCAAGTATGATTTCCAATACAGTGTGATCAATAAAACCAGAGGCTTATTTACAGGGGGGGGAGCTTATGTTGCTTCATAAATGATAAACGCATATACTTTTTACTAGTATGACCCCCTTCTCAAACTCCTTGACCCGCACCTGAAGATTTTCAAAATCCAATAATGTGATAAATCTGGCTTGTTATAAAAGTGTTATGAAAAGTTTTGCATTATTAAACTCATCTCACATAATATCCCTTTATTGTACCAATAAACTATCAAAAATTCACATTATTTGTTTCGAAAGTTTAAATGTGCGTTAACGACGATTTTTTGTATTTCAATCTTATGAACGGAGGAAAGGATTGTTTCTTCCTAAAACCTATAGAAGATGGAAAATTAAAAAGTAAAACCCCAATTGGCAACAACACACGATAACTTTGAAACGATTTAAATGTTTAAGCAAATTATAGTTTGCATTTTAATCAGAGAAAATAATGACCTTACACAGGTCATTATTTTATGCCTTGAAGCAAATTTCATTGAAACTTGCTATCGTCCGGGTTGATTCTTCAAAAGAATGACCTATCGTTCTGAAAGAAAATAACTCCATATAAGTATATAAGTGTGACATTTACAGACTATAGAATATAGTTCATTTAATGATACAAGCACCAAATTTAGTTTGTAGATTTCATTTGATTCACCTTAAACGAAATGAATCATTGAACACCTGAATTTGATACTTTTTTTACAAACTGTTCGCCATGTTATAAATATTGGCTTCATATGGAATTGGTTAAATACAAATACAATCTAGGGATGTATCTATATTACCCCTTATAACAGTTTGCAATTATTTTAGCCAGTAAATTCTCTATCGCTGTTACAACAAATATGTATTGGGCATTTTTTGCATTGCGCTTGTTCTGTTTTGTACTGGAACATTTTGTTTTCTTCAGATATAGTTAGCAAAATTACAGCGGCACAATTCAGTGCAGGATAATACAGAACAAAGATGCTTGCAGTGTCCGAAACAACGTTTCATAATTTACAATCACATTTCTTTTCTCTTTTGCAATCCCTTCTAAACGGAGATGGTAATTATTTCGATTTAAAGCCTAGCCCCAAGTTTATTTGTATAGTAAAGTTAATATCTTTGTTTGATCAATCCGAGTTGAACTTTATGGTAGAATGGCATTATATGAAAGTTGTTTACCTGCAAGCAATTCAAGTATTGCATTATTTACTTTAATTTACTTTATTATTTTGCAAAAAACAATCCTTGACATGCCTACATTTGGTGCTGTTACGATAGATACACCTAGGTTAACGACATCAGTATGACACTGAGCTTATCATGAACGGTCGTACGTCGACTTCCTCTGATACGCTGACCATCAAGACCATGACATCTTTAGAAGCTAAAGAACTATGATAAATGTTGTCAACAGCAGATGTGGTGAAAATACTTGTCTGTATGTAATGTTGCTGGACAAACAATTGCAACACCTTCGAAATATCACTTAATCCACAAACTGCACAGCAATTTATACAAC